ACCCGCGCAACATGAGATATAATATTGACAGATAAAGATCACAACGATTAAAGCTGCACAGCTGTATATTTCACTTGAGTGTAGCGGCTTGCACCGAAGCGTAATGGTACACGAAACGCACGGCAGTTTTTTGGTCATTTTGCCGGTGGAACGTTCTATCGCAACAGGGGTGCCCTAATTCCGACCTAGTGTTTAACACAGGTCGATCTGAGAAGAGAGTTTAGAAATAATAATACACAAATTATGACTAAAACAATCTACAAATGTTTTCTGTCCCAAACAAGTCCTCTTTTTACGATTACGCGACTTGCTCCAAAGTGGCTGTTTGTAAAGCAAAACCTGCATTTTTGACACGCTCGTCAACCCCCGAACAAGCGTCGAATTCACACAGATTTTTCACTCGTCTGTTGTCGGAGTGTAGGAAATAAAACAAACTTTGTGAGATTGCCGATATCAACACAAAAACATAGTCCATTCATGTGATTATTTTTAGGCACGTGCTCCCATGCATAACGCCGCAACAAGGATTTTTCAAACTAGTTCGGTATTAGGGATGGGTCGGAATTAGGGCACCCCCCGTTACTCACCACTTTTGGTACATTTTGAAAGAATAGTAAGTTAAAATTGCTGTTTTGGATTGTCAGTGTTCGAATCTTATATAGCCAATCAGTATCTGAGGTGTGATGAGTGATGGCCAATCAGCACCAAGGAGGTATTAGATTGGTACTAACCATTTTTGGCACATTGGAAAGAATCGAAACATTGCTGTTTAAGATTACCATTGCTCAGAATGGGGTTTAAATTTGAAATAGCCAATCAGTATCTGAGGTGTGATGAGTGATAGCCAATCAGCACCAAGGACATTTCAGATATGTGGTTCTACTGGGTAACCATCTTTTGCAAGAGGCTAAGAAGGTTTTTTTACTATAATAAATAATATTTTTTCAACCAAAACGCTAGATGAGAAAACCCACTGGTTTATTTATTTTTGTATTACAGTCTGTAATTGAATCTTCAGACAGCTGGGTAGACCATTTGATTTTCAATGGGACCCAGAATAAAGAAACAACGCTAAAATCAAGTATAACAAGGAACCTTCTAAAACGATGTCACAAATTGTCTTACAGTCTGCAAGTTCCATTGTTCCTGCAGGGGATGAATTGACAGATGGAATGAGCCACACAGTCTCCCACATTCTCTCCATCCTCCGCATCACTGAACAGGTCGTACTCAAGGTCGTTGACCTGCACAGCTCCGATGCACCCCTCAAAATTCACCACAGGTCCTTGAAAGTGGAAAACAAAAACAACAAAAGGATTTTTTAGGCTGCACCAAAATTATATCTTATTTTCAAATATCTTTTGAAAATACTTTTTTTATGCTTGATATTTTATTACAGAAATCCTTTAAACGTCTTAGGAACATTTTAAGCAGTTTTGAATGTCCCTCCTACTCATTGAATAAAACTTCACCATTGCTGGTTCAGATCTTTACTTACTGGTAGGTAATCATTGTAGGAGGGAACACTGCTCTTGAAATATATTCAAAACATTCTACAACATTAAAATATGACAATGTATTATGTGAAGAAAAAAGACATCCTGCTGCTTCTTTTTGAAATTAGCTACGGTACTACTTTTTGAAGAAAAAAAACTGCTCTTTGAAAATAACTGCTGCTTTTCAAAAATATCTGCCACTTTTTAAAAATAACTGCCACTTTTTGAAAATAACTGCCAAGCATCACTCACCTGCTTGTGTGACGGCTGTCAGATCTGAGGGTAGACCCCCCAGGTAGAGGGGTCCGAAGGGTTTCTGTGCAAAGTAAGTCCTGACCTCGTTTGAAACAGGTGCCGAGCTGTTCACCTGAACAGACGCGCTGCACATGCCACGGATTGTGTTACCGATGGGACGAGGTCGGCTTTGTCTGGTGAGGACAAAAATCATGTCAAAGTTATAGATTAATCTTGAAGCTTCAGTCAGGGACGTCCTCTCAGATTGGACATAAAAATGTAACATTAGGTCCAGTGCTTGAGGACAGTCACACCTCAAGCATGTTTAACACACTACCACACTTAGCAAAAAGAGCCCTTCCCAGTGTGAGTTTAGTCCCAAGGTTGAAATTACAAGAGTCTTTTAGAGACCTTTGTATCTGTTGACTTGCAATTGACAGACAGTACACACTTTTCTACTAAGGCACTCTCTCATATGGACACATCTACAAATATCAGACCATTTGTGGTATGATTATTTTACGATTTCAAATGATACTAGGCTGAAAGCAACATTTTGGAAGTACTTACTGGATAACAACTGAAGTCATGAAGTCATTATTAACTGTGATGTCTGTGCTTAGGCTAAGTACTGTGCCTCCTCCACAGCTAAACCTGCGATAAAATATGGGAGAAATAGAAACAACTTTATGTCAGAATAACCAATGAGACATGTATAATACACAACTGTTGTTAATAGCAAAAAGAAGTCATTTAAGAGAAGGAGTAGTTCTGAAGTAGGCAAAAAAAAGGCATTGTATTGTTTAGCTTTAGAGAAATTTGATAAAACTCAAAATGTGCTATACATACTACATGTAGGTACCAAAGAAATATGATTATTGAAAACACTGCACGGTTGTCTCTACATCATAATATTTTTCATAGATATTTTTAACCAGAAATATTAAACATTCTCACTCCTGTCAAACTTCCTTAGGCAGAAAATGGTTGAAAAAATCATGAAATTCTTACCTGTACCACAAAGTTCCACCTTGAATGTACAGGTGAACAAATTCTGCATTACTGTTGGCGGCAACCGCATTAGCAATCCCATCATCCTCTGCTGCATACAAAATGGTGGCCTCCGTGGCAGTAGTTTTAAACATAACGACGATGTTGTTTGTGTACTGCTGAGTCAGGTCCAGGGGTGAGTACTGCAGGTAGGTGTTCCCAGAGAAGGATGGGAAATACACAACTAGATCTGAAAAGAGAATAGAAATCGAGTCAGCAAAACTTATTTTGGAGCAATAATCTAAAATTTGTAAGACATTTGTTTGAAGTAACCGCCATTATAACATATTACACATATCTGTCATTTTGAAAACAGCATGTTTGAGAGATCTCTAGTGGCAAAATTATGGTTGCAGACATTATACAATCATGTATGTTGAACTTTATGGAATCAAATGTTTAATATACATTTTTACTGATACTCCCAAAATTTTGAAAACATGTAAAATTAGCCCAGATTTAAAAAAAAAACTGATCAGTATCAGTGGTGTCATGAGTGATGGCCAATCAGCACCAAGGACATTTTAGATTGGTATGAACCATTTTGGGCACAAAATGACTTGGATGTTAAATTAAGAAAATAGTGGCTTTAAAAGATAATGGCTGCCAAGGTTTTTGACAATTTTCTTGAAAAGTAAAAGACAGTGTATCATGATAGAAAAACAAAATTCTAACACTAAACAGAAAAAGGAAATTTGTCTTCAAAAGATATCAAATTTACCAGTGTGTACATTATGTAAAATGTACCCACCTTCCTCACACCTGTCCCCAGTAAAGTGCAGCGGACAGTCACACTTGAACTGCAGCACGCCTCCCGTTGTGACATCACGACACGTCCCGCCGTTTTCACACCGCGTCTCGCTGCACGTGGGCGGCGGGGGGTCGGTCGGCCCCGGGGGCGGCGTGGGGAGCACGTCACACTCCTCCACATTTTCCCCGCCGAGCGAGAAAAGAAAGTTGTACGGGACGGCGTTAATCGTCAGCTCCGAGACGCATCCCTGAAAGTCGTAGACTGGTAGACTGGCCGTCAGGGGGTCGAAGGTTGGAGGGACTCCGCCCATGTACACAGGGCCCATCTCACCGCCAACGTTGTTGACGAAGGATGTCGGAAGACCAGCTTGGACCGGATTGCCGTTGTCAACGGTTACTGTTGCTTGACAAACAGGGCTGGTGATGTGCCTGGAGTGGGCAGAATAGTAATTATGATTATGTTTAATATAACTCTGCGTAAGAATACGTTAGGAAGAGCATCCAGTCAGTAAAAACCTTGCTTCAAAAAAAGACTTGCACAAGCTTGCTGTTCTGCACCTCAGCATGCTGAGGGGCAAAATGACAAGCCCAAACATGCACCTGTGCAAGCACGTCTATACCCCCGATTTGGGGAATCAATAGACGTAAAACTCGGATAAGAAGAAGAAGAAGAATAGCAATATTCACCACAAGATCTGCAAGAAATTTTAACTTCTTTATGATTTTTTGTTTCAGTTGTCATTAATAACAATGTTACAGTAGCAATTTCTCCAATACATCTGAGAATGAACCTGTCCTTAGTGCTGAATTCCATTTTCTATCATGGTACATGTATATTTAAAATGATAAACTGGATAGTGAGTGAGTGTGTGATTTTAGCAATCTTTTAAGGAATATCAAAAATTAAATGCTTTTAACACTTACTCAATGATGACAGAGACTTCATTGCCGTGGTTGACTAGAGTGTTGGTATCCACAGTGAAGCGCTCAATCCAACAGGAAAATGGTACTGTAGAATTCAAAAAGTTTTGTACTCTTGAAATACATCTGCTACATAGTGCTTCAATCAAATTAAAG